CCCAATTTCTGCCCCAAATAAAGCAACCCATTCTGACAGTTCTACCTCTGAAATAGGACTGAAACTTGTTCTCGACCTCACTAATACCGTGTCAGTCCAACCTCACTGCCTCGATTCCAGGTTGATGGAATGGTCTGCCTTTTCCCCAAGGGGAATTCTCGTCCCTGGAATTTCACGATCCAGCTCCGAGAGAACCGCCTTCCCGAAACTGCTTTATCACCCTAGTCCCCTCTCGCCCCTCCTGCCCCCTCAGGGCTTCCAGGACTGAGTCCAAGTCCATGTGCTACAACCAGCATCCCCTTTAACAGACACCGAGGCTCCCATCCTGACTCTGCCCTTTTCACACAGAGGCCGTGCACAAGGACTAAGACTTCCCCAAGTCCTTGTTGTCCCCTCTGTTGCAAATAAAATTCATTTGTTCAAAACTATGGAGCACCCCCAACGTCTGGGGCAGTGCCCTAAGCCCTGGAGACAAAGCCTGACAGTGAACTCACTTCAGTGATCCTGCACTTCCCTCAGGAGGCCTGCAGACTAAGCGAGCTGAGTGCCCAACACAGATGCCCGTCGGATGAATGCTGGAACTGACCATATCTTTGGGAAGATACAGTCTTACAAATTATTTGAAAATTAAACTCGGGGGAATTTATACTACATTTTCTCATAGGAACAACATACTTTTAATTTACTATCACAGCTTTATGGACTTTACAACTTCCTCTAGTTGCTTTCCCCTGAGTCACAGGATATATCATGGTCAGGAGCATGGACCCTGGACCCAGAGAGCTTCGCTTTAATTCCTGGCGCTGTCACTTTCGGGTTATGTGACCCTGGGCAAAGCACTTAACGTTTCTGTACCTCAGTTTGTGAAATGCAAATAATAACAGTATCATTAACTATTATGGATATTAATCGGACTTATATATAAAATGCCTGGGACAATGTCTGGTACCCATTAGAAGCATTAGCTGTTATTCAAACTGATTCTCTGAAGCCGGGTAGATGTAGACAGCTAATGTTGTTAACCAATTACCAAAACGCATACCCATATTGATAGTTAATTAAAATACACATACTAAAGCTGACTTTCCTACTATCCTCCACAGTCCAGCAATGCAAGTAACTAAGAACTAACTGCAGATCCACGAGAGTCTATGAAAATGGGAGAGTAATGGGTAGGAAAAGCTTTATGTTCTTGATCTGGATCTGCTGTTCATTAATCCTGAGGCTGGAGGGCAAGTCACTTCGCCTCTCTGGGTCTGATAATTCACAGATAAATGAAGTGTTCATTAAAAAGACTATGGGAAGCAAAAATCAAATGGGTAGTAAAAATTAAACACCTTACAATAGCAAATATCACTAGGAAGCAAAATATGCTATGAAGGATTGAAAAGTATAATGCTACCAGCATCTATTTTGAAGAAATTATAAAAAACAATGTTAAAATGCGCACAAGTCCATCTAATACAGTCACACATTTTAGATGGACTTTAACAGTGAAGATAAACTTTTGTGATGAGACCATAAAAAGTCTGTGTAATCACTAATTATATGACAATATTTAGTTACTTATTACTGTTTTACAGTTTGCACAGAACATTTTATCAGTTAATAAAATATGAACATACTATAATAAAAAATCTGAATAAACCTAAGAAAAGAGAGGGAGAGATACACAAGTATAGTAGATATGCTGTAAAAAATGAGTTGCAATTTCAGGTAAACAGTAAAATAAAATAGAAAACCAGTCTTAGGTGTGTTGGAAATACACAGATTAAAAAAAAAGTAAAAAAGCAAAAGCAAATGGTTCAAATTTCATATTCACTTAGAAAATAAGGTAAAAATATTGGGATCAATTTTATTATGACTCCAAATAAACATTGGTGTGTCCACCACACAATGTCAAAGGGCCTCTAATCGGATTCACAGGAAAACACTCTTAGTAGCTCTGCTCTGTGCCTCCGGTCCCTTAACAATCATGAGCCTCAGCAAGTGACACAGTGAAAGCCTGGCCTTGACCTCGTGTCTCCTAAATCGTGGTTCAAATGTTCTTACTTTGCAATTCTGCCTCTAACTCATCTAGAAAGACAACCACGGCCACGAGGGCCCATGCTCCTGGTCTGTGCGGTTTGCGAAGCCAGGGCAGAGACTCATTAAACCAGACAGAGTGGGACCCTGAGCCCGAGGTGCAGGCGGAGCACAGGGAGTCTCAGAACCAGCACCAAGTCCAAAGACCAGACTCTACCTGCCACTAATTAGATGCTGATGGGAATTCAGCACATTCTGGGAAAAGCAATTTACAACTGTACATGACACTCACATTACCCAGTTAGAATGCCAAAGTCAGCTCTAAGGAGACTGGGTTCTTTTTTGTATCCCTAAACAGCCGAAAATTCAATGAAGATTTAATACCATAAGTACTACTGATCGATACTCAAGCATCTGACCGAGTTTATAACCAAAAATACCAAACAACAAAGACAGTCTGATTTTGCAGCTGGGCACGTCACCAAGGCGACTGTCCAACCCCACCCCCGCTAGTCGAAATAAAATTCATGTTTTTTAATTGTTATATTTTCTCAGTTCTATTTTGAGATCTTAGGTAACTATGTTACTTACATTTTTAAAACAAAAGACAATTTTGCAGAGGCTGAAAACTGAACAAAATTTCTGATATGTAAGGATGCAGATTTCAAAGAGAAAAACATCCTCGCATTCTAAACAAATCACAACCTGAGGGCTCAGAACTGATACTACGAAGTGAAAACTTTCTTTTGATTTGTACTCTGGTGTTTGGAATGATCCCAAAAAACCCCGGCAGACGGGTTTAAGAATAAAACTTGCAATGAAAATAAACACACACACACAACCTACAAACTTGAGGTTCACCGGATTGCAAAATACAACTAAGTTTAATGTTCAAACAAAATTTGAAAAGATAATTTGGGGAAAAAAATACAACCAAAGGCTGCACAAGTGCTCAAAACATATTCGTTGTAGCTCTGAAGCAAAAACCTAGAAACAGCACCTGCTGGATGGGCTACATTTATTTGATTTTCATAGACAGGGAACTAGGCAACCATTAAGAGCTGAGCTACCACTTTTAATGATTGCAAATTCATTCTTATGAAATTCACTTAAATTATCTCTTGTTTATATCATTATGTTCTTTTATAAATAACTGTTTTAGACCCCCTTACGTACAAGACATCAATCCTCTTATGTCCTTCAGCTAAATACGTAATTTTTATAACAAAACTGAGATCATGCTTTAAAAAAAATGTTTTAAACAATTTCATAGGCACATCTTAGTGGTATTAAATAATATTACTATTAATAATATCGCTTCAGAACAAAATACAAGGACGATGTCAAGATGTGTCTTTGGAAATTTAAGAATTCTCCCGTTTTGTTAATAATATCCTATACTTAACACAGTTAACCTGTAACCTAAAGATCAGTGCAAATTACTGTTGACGGGCGTGGGTGGGGCCGCTTATCAGCGCCTAACCTATATGCTTCCATTTTCACGCCGTATTTCCAAAGCGATAAGTCCATCATAAAACTCTGCACTTTACCCAAGGGCCTTATCTAAACATGCCCTACGTGGCCCTTCTGAGGCTCAATCAGCGAAAAGGCCCGGGGAGTAGGAGCAGCTATAACGCCGACCAATCGCCCTGGACTTTGATATCAACCGGCTGAGAGCTTATTTAGGGTGTTATTGGAAATTAGCAGCATTAGATTAGTAGGTAATGAAGACTCTGTTGCTGTCTTCCAGTTTCTCTGCACAGAAGCAAAGATATTAAGGAACTGTGTATATATAAGACGCGTTCTTCTTCTGTAAGTTCCCAGGATAAGGTAAGACGATGAATGTTTCGTATTTATTTATGAAATTTAATTCTAGAACACAATGGAATTTGAGAAGGAAGCTATTTTTTACTTAATGCTATACTTATGTTTGAAAGGTGACAGGAAACAATTTTGGGGAAACTTTTCTTTATTTAATACACATTATAAATTTTTTTCCCCCAAAGATCATGAACATGAGTAAAAATTTGAGGTAGCTAAAGCTACCTCACATTATGAGGAAATTTCTGGTAATTTCCAGAAATAAGGAGCCAAGTTCCTTAAATGCTTATGTTAACTATCGCATTGATATTGTTAATTATAATCACTTGAAATGGCAAAAAAACTAACAATTTCTTTTCCTTCCTAGGTAGCAGGTGTTTCTATATTTTATCTTTTTTTATGCCAAAAAGTATTTATTTTGTCTGTATTAACTATGAATAGATTTGCACCTAAATTATAATGGCATTAGGTTACAGAATCAGGAAATGACCGATGATCTTAAAGACAGAAATGGAATTATCTGAAGAAATACAAATGTGAACATAAAATGCAGACAGGAACCTTCATTCAAATCAAAAGTAAACATCAGAGCTTCAAATACGCCAGCCGCTAAATGTATTTAGAATATGAATTCATGAAGATTTCCTTCTGTGAAATAAGCATACTTAAGAGGTTGTTTATAGACTTTCTTCAAGGAAAGCTGAAGGCCTCTTTTGACGCACGTAATGGAGTTATCAAGTGTAACAGCAACTCCATGTGGACTGTGTACCAATTTCCAGTGGAGATGCTGTTACTTTTGATGGTTACCAGCTCGCTACAATATAGAGACATATTCCAGAAAGACGGCAGATCCTGGTCACTGTGACTCTCAGTTAGGTTATTAAGTCGCCCTGCTCACTCAGTCCTCGGGTCTCCCCCTGCCCCGGTGCACGGGCCAGGCCGAGACTAACGCCTGGTGTACAGGAGAATGACCTATGAATTGACAGACAGTGTAGCGCAGTGTGTCTGTCATTTCTGTAGGCCAATATTCTGTACATCCGAACTGCTTCAGCATCAGAAGCCAGCTGGGACCACGCCAGGGACACGAGAGAAGAATCTGTAGCACAACCATGTACATACACGTACTGACTCTAAATAAAACATAAGTGGTGCCCGAGTAGTTGCTTGTGTTTTTCTGACGAACCTCACATTTATGTCACCCGGGTTACTGATCCATCGACCGACGCACCGCTTAACTGTCACGATCAGATAGCGACCAAATAAACCAGTCTGCTCCACTTACACACGGTCTCTCTCAATCAGTTCAAGGAAATTCCCTAAAAAACTTGTCTGGCCCCGGCCAGGTGGGTCCGTTGGTTGGAGCATCATCTCCATGCATCAAAGGTTGCGGGTTCTATCCCCAGTCGGGGTGTGCAGGAAGCAGCTGATCGATGTTTCTCTCTCTCCCCTCCCTCCCTTCCTCTCTTTAAAATCAATAAAAATATTAAAAAAAAAAAATTAAGGAAAAAAGAAGAAATAATTGAGAATGTAATCACTACAATAAATGTAATTTTGGCCATTTAACTACATTATATTTTCTTAAGTTTTAAAGCATCTAAACAATTACATGACACTATTTCCACTGAAAGGGGGGGTAGACTCAGTAGGAGGATAACTCTAATTCATAAAGAAAAATTACATAATAGGACTCTCTACTAAACACTGCCCATCTCTGGATTCCTGAGAGCTTGTTCTAGCACACAACCTGGTACACACGAACAATGAATTCTCACTAAAAAACAAACAAACAAACAAACAAAAGAGCCTCTGCTTCTATGTATAAACATAAAAAAAAAATGTATTTCTTCAAATTTCAATCATATTGAAAGGATATTTCTGAAATGTATATTTTACCCCCCCAAAGATCATTATTTTAGAATATTTTATTTAACATATATCAGGCGTTCTCAATAATGCACTATTATTCCATTTTTGAGGAAACTACAACTCACTGTAAAATGTTGAAAATATTTAGGGAGCTCTACCTGTTGATCAGGAACTCATCTTTGGTCTTATGGTGGAACACGGGAATCGGAACACCCCACACTCTCTGCCTTGAGATACACCAGTAGGGCCGCCTGTCCATCATTTCAACCATGGCATTCAGGGCTGACCCAGGAATAAACTTCACCTTTTTCAACAATTCCTGCAATTGATGCACAGATGTCACCTTCGGAGGACGTGATAAAAGACTTTATGCCAACAAGGATTGCCAACTAGCCTAATTTACATGCAGTATGGTTTAAAACATAAAAACACGCTCTCAAAATAAGTTACTTCCTCTTTACTCTCTCAAGTCCCTCCCTCCTTCACAGCCCTCTCAAGAGCTGCAAGTTGCTAGCATCCGGTTTCATTTCATTTGATAATTACTAAAAGATAAATTCTATACCAAAAGTTTGGTGATAAGCTCAAAAAAGGCCAAAATATGTTAACTTCATTTTTTAAACCTCTGTCCATGAATGAAAGCATCTCTATATTTTCTGTTCCATGTTTAGTTTCCTCACTTACCTGAGCCGCCTGCCCCCAGCCATTTGTAGCACCACCTACTGGTAGGACGGTGGCACCTGCCATTCACTTAGATGACCACCCAGCTTAAAAATCCAAGAAATGTGAATGCTGCCGGGCATCTGATTTTGTTACAGAACAACTATGACTTATTTAAGACGGTGACGATGGCGTTGGAATTGTGTTTTAAAGAGTCTTTATCTTTCAGATTCACATGCTGAAATATTTATAGAAGAAAGAATAGCCTGAAATGTGCTTTAAAACAAGACAGTGGGTAGGGAGTAAAAAGTGAGTGGTGGGCCCTGGCCGGTGTGGCTCAGTGGTCGGAACTGCTGGAGACATTTAGAATGTCTGTTATAAAGCATTTATTAACACAAAGCAACAACTTTCCAAATGGACTGAAATTCCTGTCTTAAGAAAGCAAAGGGTTTTAAAAGCATTTTATTGAATCCTACGTGCCAGACTCCTGTTGCAGAAACGTTTCCCCACTGATTCCCCGAGGCAGGCAGTGTCATCGCCTCTACGTAGATGAGGAAACTGAGGTTCTGAGAGGTTACAAAACTCGCCAAGCTCAGTTCTGTCCTAGTTCTATGCCGCTTCCACGGCGCTGGGCAGGGAGTTTGGGTGAGTCAGGTAACCCCCTTTCCGCCTCGTAATTCCTCACGTGTATAATGAGAGAACGGAAACCCAAGGCCCTTCCAGATCTGAAGTTCTGCAACTTTATGAAACCAGATCCTAACAACAGCAAGCCCTTGCACTCCCAAGCCGCCCTCCACCTCGCACGCAGCGCTCCTCACGGACATGAAAACCCGCCCCGCCGGAGGCCGCCCTGCATACCTTGGCCGTGGCCTTGAGCGCCTCGATGTTTACAAACCACTGCTTGCTGGCGCGGATGATCACCGGCGCCTTGGTCCTCCAGTCGCACGGATAGCTGTGCACCACCTTTTCCTCTAGCAACAAGTTCTTGGACGCCTGAAGCATCTTTATAACTTAAAAAAAAAAATAAATCAGTAACAATTTGCATTAGACGTCACTCAGAAGTGCTACGAAAACCCTAACAACTCTCTAAACCCCCAGGGAGTTCTGGACCTGGACAAGCAGGGGCCGGAAGAGCGGCCACCTACCAGGCACCGGAGGCATAGCCCGGAATCTCCTGCTGACGCTGGTCTCTGTCACCCTCCCTAACGTGACATCTGTCCCTGCTGACCACCCTGATTTGCTTAAACAGAGCAACTTCAAAGCACAGGATGAAAAACTCCCAAACTCCATTTTAAAATCACGTGGCGAAATAAGATATAACTTTAGCTTTTTTGTTTTTGTTGAAAGAGTAAGATGGGAGGAGAAGTCAAGGTTCCTGCTGGCTACGTTTCAGAAAATAGACGTTTATGATATCAACAAACACAAAACTCACCCGCATCCGTTCCCTCTCCAAGGACGGCCTTGCTTTGGAGTTCGGGACCTGCAGCTGCTGTGAAAAGTCCATCTTCGTCCACTAAACAATCCTACAAAGTGTCATTTTGAACAGGTCAAGTATCAATACATTTTATCTTACAACAGTATCTGGCAAGGCAATATACATAAAACATCTAGGTCAGTCTCGTCTTTCACTACATTGAAAGTTTGGGGATTTAATTCAGTTACTTGGAAATGTAAATTTGTACATTTACAACACTAAAGGCAAAAATGTCTTCTTCAAGCAGAACCTAAATTTAATCACAAAAAGTAAAATATACTAAAAACCATTTATAACTTGCTCTCTATTAATTTATGGATCTATGGCAACGTGCACACACAGTGATGACTTCTTCGAGACTTGCCTTTGAATGGACAAATTTGCTAAGTAACTGATGTATGTAAAATAAATTTAGAGAAAACTATTTAGTTAAAAACAAAACAAAAAAAACACCTGTTCTTTTCAGCTAGTAAAACTAGTCAAATCCGCTTGCCATTTTTCAGGGACTTAAAGTAATTTATCTGTGTGACTTCATACTTGGGAAAAATCCTGCCCCATTTAACATACATTCTTCAACTTGAACTTTGCGCGGATTTTAAGTCTGGGAAACGTTTCTCGATTAGGATGAATGAATGAAGCTTTAGTGTATTGCACAAATGTGAACATTTCACAACTGTGATGACCATGAAGGATTATCTATTATCAAAAAGTAGAGCTGTCAGCTGGATTTATCACTCCCGTTGTGATAGAGAAGGAGAGAGGGGGTACCGTGGCCAGCTTGTGCTGGGACGCGACACTGTAATCTTCCATGCCGTGAGCCGGGGCCGTGTGCACCAGCCCCGTGCCTTTGGCCATGGTCACGTGATTTGCAGGTAAAAGAGGGGACACTTTATCAGGAATCAAAGGATGGGTACAAGTACCCGTTTCCAAATCGGCACCTGTGGGCGAAGAAAACCACGATTAAGAATCATCTTAAAGGACCAAATGGCATGAAACGTTCAATGTAGCTTCTCTCCTGCCCGACATAAAACCCTTTTTGTTTTTGCTAAGACTGTTTGAACTTCTAATCGGCTTGTATCTGAACTGATGCATTGAGAGGGCTTCCCTATGCGTTAGGCAATCTTCCCATTTTCGGGTATCTCATGTATGTGTAAAAAAAAAAAGGTTATTTTTTTTGGTAAGAAACTCAAAGATATATTATCTCTAAGGATCAAAGGTAATTTTAAAATTCCCTGCATTTCCAGAGCTATATTTCAAAACCAGTCCCAAATTGTGCCTACTGAAGATTCTTTTGGTCGAAGCACTACCTTTGGACCAATTTTCAGAATTTATTCAATTTCTTTAGTAAAATCATATACCAAAAATAAATGTATTTACTTCCTTCCTTGCTCTTTTGATACATCGGATAAAAAGAATTTTTAGCAATTTAATTTTGGATAAAAAATTTAAAGGATATTTGTACATAGTATATCGTATAAAGGACATCTGTCCAATTTTACATTGGATATTTGGCAGAAATCTTTCTTATCTGTGTGCCTTTGTCAATGTTCATATTTTTCTATACTCCCATCATGTTTAATATATATTCTCCTCCCGGGAACCACTGTAAAATATATTCTAGAAAGGCAGAAACCACATCTGTTTTGATTCAGAATGAGCTATGTTCAGCAAAGGACTTAAATCAACCCAATATCCTGATGACTATGACAGTCAGAATATCTATAGATCTTCACCTGAAAATGTTGAAATAACCTCAAATGTTGTTTTCAAAACAGCAGCAACAGATGTTACTTTATCTGCAGCCAGTATGTATAACTCCCCAGATTTGGAACATTTCACAACGGCATACCTAAAATAAAAGTTTACGGTAAAATTATTGACAGTGAGAAAAGCAAAGCCACAGACAGCATTTAAAATGTCTTACATCGCTTTAGAAAAACTAACTTCAAAATCAAAACAGTACTATTTTCAAAGGATTTCATCCCTTACAGTTCTGTTTTGTTTTCCAAAAAAGTTGGAAATAAGATCTTAAGATCTAAATTAACATAGTTAAGTTATAACTCATTAACTTTCAAGAGGAGAATGAAGGTGAAATAAATTGAGAATAATGCTAATGATGGAACAGATCCTATTTGTGGGTAAAATAAAAAATGCAATGCTATACCTACTTTGCGTCTGGCATATAACAAACAGCTTGATTGGCTGGAATTGTCCAAGGCTGTGTGGTCCAGACTAAAAAACTAACCGGAGATGAACCATCTGTGAAAATAAAATTTCAAACATGTTAGGAAGTGTGACAACTCCGTAACTTGAATAAACCCAAGCAGTGAGTGAGTCGTACCTACAAGAGACGCCAACTTCGGAGCAGGTTTCAAGAGAGGGAATTTTACGTACACTGAGCGACTGACATGCTCAGGATTATACTCCAGTTCTGCTTCGGCCAATGCCGTCCTAAGGTTTAAAAAGATCGGACATAAATATTGGGAAGCCTTGAAAAATTTCTCCTTTAATGAGCAAAAACACATAAATACCTCGATGAGGGAGACCAAAACACAGGTTTGTAAGATCGATAAATCAGGCCCTATAAAAGACAAAGATATTACATGAAAAGCTGGAATTCTGTAACAATCTAACACACTTGAAGGAAAAAAATACTTCATTACCTTCTCATACATTTGGTAGAAAATTCTCAACTGCTGGGCCTCGTATTTGCCATCAAACGTATAGTAGCAATTATTCCAATCGGCCATAATTCCCCAACGGATAAATGCCGATCTCTGTTTCTCGATTGCTGCTTTAGCAAATGATCTAGCTGAACAAAATAAAGAAAAAGCTTTGAAAAACCAGCCAATTCAAATTCTTAAACATGGTTTTGCATGTATCCCTCTAAATACAGGAATTGTACGCAGTTTAGACTATAAAGTTTATTTAATAGGAAAGTTATTTCGAAAGTTAAAGGTAGGTTAAAATTTTATCATCTTCTGTTTTTTCCAGACTTTGTACAATGACCTTACATTTAGGAAAAAAATACACTGGAAAAATTCTTCTTCAAATTTCTGAATTTAAGAAAAGATCAGAGAATATATTTCATTATATAAAAAACCCCACAAACCTAATCAGTACATCTGGTCAATGCCAGTATGTTTCACAAGGAAGTAAAAAAATCTTCAGTCATATCCAAATGCACAATAGTTTAACATATACAAACACAAGATTCCTTGCTAACCCAATCTCCTAAAGAATCAAATAAGGGATTAATTTAAAATATATTTATATTTTAGAATCTACTTTGGTTTTATCACCTGAAATAGGTCAATAGCCCTAGCCAGGAAAATAAAAAAACATCGCTCAAAATAATTTCACAAAATATGCAGACTAAAGAACTGAGCAATGTACTTGGCAATGCTTACAAATCTTTCCTTCAATCTCTAAACGTAAGTTCTCACAAAGGTCACAAATGATAAAATAACTACAAAAAAAACCCCAAGAACAAAATACAACAGGTCTCTCTGATAAAAGCCCAGACTTTCCCAAGGAATTCATGTTACAAATGTCTTTTTAAAGCAGAAACAGAGATTACTTACCTTTCTCTCTAATTTCCACCGCTGAAAGATTCTGAGCTTTTGCACCAAGTTCTGATAATACTTTTATTTCGATGGGTAGCCCATGACAATCCCAGCCAGGCACAAAATGTATTTTGGAACCTCTCAGCATATGGTATCGATTGGCTATATCTTTCAAAATCTGCAAAGAAAATGCTAATCATCACTCATACAGGAAGCATGTCTCCAACAATTTATATTATTTTCTTAATATTTTAAAACACTGAAAAAGCCTGATTTTAAAAGGATTTACAGAAGAACAACTTATTAAATCTCCTTCAAGCTCTACTTAAATACAAAAATAACAGATACTTGAAGTTATGCTTTTTTACCAGCTGATGTAAAATGTGCAATAATTCAAAAATGAACTATCCGGCAGCATAGTTTGTCCTCTGTGGAACAGGCAATATGTATGACAGACCTCAGATGTTAAAAGTTTTCAGGACAATTTACTTTCCTGATACAACATACAATACATACTACAATGCAACACCGCTCTAACAGCAGTATGGACTGCTCTGGTGACCAGATTCCTGGTTTTGGAAGCAGAGATGGATGTCCAAGGCCACACCCTCTCCCAGTTTTCCACAGAAGCACCCATGAGAATCAAGGACTGAAAAAACTGATGAACAAACTGTGGTCTAGTCTCTCAATAGAGAGCTACTCAGCAATGAAAAAAGAACCAATAACTGATCGACTGAATCTCAAAAATAATGAATGAATGAAAATAAAAAATACCACATGAATGAAAAAGCCAGTCACAGAAAAATATGTGCTATGATTCCACCTTTCTGGAATTTTAGAATAGGCAAAAAAATCTAAAGCAATAGAAACCAAAACATTGATTGCCAAATACCATCCCTTAGGGGTTAGGTTTCAACATAGGAATTTGGGAGAAGAAACAAATATGCAGTCTATAGCAGCTCTAACATATTTTATTTATCTTATTATGTCCTCCCCAACTAAAGCATAAGCTCCAAAAGGACAAGACTTATCTTGTCTATTTTCCCTGATATTACCAGCGTAGAACACCACCTGGCAGTAATTATTTACTGAATAAAATAAAATTTACTCATGTAAAATAACAAGCTCCCAGCAAATACCAGCGACATTATTTTCCATGCAGTACCGAAATGGTTTACTGCTGCTTTCTGTTCAGACATTCATTTTATGTGTCAATGCAAATGTACAGAATTGTCGTAGTATTAGAATGCTCTTCTGTAAAGTGTATCTAAGTAAAGGTTTCCCCCCTAAGTCCTATAAACTTAATTATACCTACCTTATTTAAAGCATGTCCAACGTGAGGGTCACCATTTGCGTAAGGCGGTCCGTCGTGAAGATAAAATTCTGTCTTTACTTTCCTTTCTCTTTGCCACGAATAAAGTTCTGAAAATCCACATTTCTGTTTAAAGAGAGCGATAATGTCTGTTCATAGAAATACATACTCGTAACAGCTAGTACTTATCGATCGCATGCCAATGCATTCAATTGTGAAACACAAACGGTGAGGTTTCTGAAATGCGCATCTGAGTTCTTTTTAAAAAAAACTTTGTATTGAATTTATTGGGGTGACACTGATTAGTAAAATTATGTAGGTTCCAAGTGCACAATTCTCTAGCACATCACCTGTATCCTGTACTGTGTGTTCACCACCCCAAACCAAGTCTCCTTCCATCACTTATCCCCCCTTTACCTTCTTCTACCTCCCCCCGCCCCCTTTCCCTCTGGCCATCACCTTACTGTAGCCTGTGTCTATGAGTTTGGTGTGTGTTTTGGTTTTTTCTTTCTTTCTGAATCCCTTCTACTTTTCCACCCAGCCCCCAACCCCCTCCCCTCTGACAGCTGGGGTCTCTCTTAAAACCCTCCAGCGACCACCCTCATACTCTTCTGGTTCAATCTAGGCCCTGGAGCCCTCCACACCTGCAGCGACACCCGGTGCACACCTGTGGCCTGACCCCCGCCGAGTCCCTGGGCCCCAGGGGCCTGTCACCCTGACACGGTCGCAGTCCCCGCCCACAGGGGGCGCTGCAGAGAAGGCCGGGGGAGGGGAGCGGCCGAGCCGGGTGGGCGAGCCTGCACCGGTTGCCATATAGTTAGGCTGAGCACGTTGTGACTTTAACCAAAAACATCCAGGGATTTTAAAGACCCTGGAGTTCAACGAACACGTGCCTCTCTGCCCTTAGGAAATGAAGGTTAACGCGGGAGGGAGACGATGGCAGCGCTCAGGACCGGGCGCCCGGGGGAAGCGACGCCCCTCCGTCCTGCAAACAGGTCACCCCCCAGCTGCGGCCCTGCTAATGCCACCAGGGTGAGCCTCCCTCCACTCGTGCCCCTCGCCAAAGCTTTCTTTACCTTTCACGAGCCCCCGGGACAGCACCCACCTTCCGTCTGTTTCGCCCCAGCTACAAGCGGGGCTTCTGTTTAGCTCCAGCCCCCCCCACCCCGGGGCCCTGACCTGCACGTGTCTCCCTAAGTTTTCGGGCAGGAAGACCCGCGATCGGCGGGTGGTTTCCGCCGCCTGTTC